CCATGCTGTCTGCTCTCCGGAGCCTGCTGCACCGCAAGAGGGTCCCCTCGAACCCCAGTGCCTCCCCCCAGCCCTGGGGCCTGGCACTTGTGCCCCTCGCTGAGGAAAGCACAGCCCCGAGGCCTGTCACCCAGGAAGTCACGTCCCCGCTTGGCTGGGCCACGGCAGGACGGCTCGGGCTCTCGGGACCCGGGCTGCGCTCACGCCAGGCGGAGGCCAGCCCTCTGAGCCCGACACAGGCAGCCACCAGGCTAACTCAGGGGGCGGCCCACACTCCCCCTGGCTCTGCCTTCCCAGGCGTCTCCAGGGGCGGAGCTGAGAACACTCACCAGGACGCAGGCCGGAGGCTGTCCAGGGTCTTAGAGGCGCCCTCAGGCCCAGGTGCTGCTCCTTAGCCCTGATCTCAGCGCAAGACCCGTTGGGGAAGTGGGATTTAGGGTTTCCTTGGTGAGGCTGTGCCCGTGGGCTGGCCGCCTGGGTGGTCCTCCTCCCCTGACCTCCCACACCCCACCTTTCCCCCCTCCCCACGACAGTGGGTCAAACCACCCACCTCCCCATGCCCTAACCGAAGCCCAGACTTGGGCCGAGGATACCGCCGTCCCAGGGCGCTGCAGGCCCGAGGGCTCAGCCCATCTGCCCTTTCGGACCGGTGGGGCGGGAACCCACGGGGCTGAAATCTACATTCCCCATTGGTGGTCCAGAGAGACCCCGGGACGAGTCGGAGCCCTCGCCTCTGCCTCCCCTGAAAGGCAGCCACGTCCTGGCTCAGGAGTGGGTCCTCGCAACTGTTGTTGATTAAAAATCAGGGGAAAAGATACACAACACGTGAGACGCTAACTTTACTGTTTTTAAGAGCGCCATGTAGGGGCCTTAGCGACACCCACAGTATTGCGTCACCGCCACCCTCATCTACTTCCGGAACTCCCATCGCCCCCACCAGGAACTTCGTGCCCATGCGGCAGTCCTGGTCCCCCCCACCCCCCCAATGTAGTCAACTTCCTGCCTCAGTCTGTTTGCCTGCCCTAGATGTTTCTGCTAAGGGAATCCCGGGTTCGGGGCCCATCGTGGCGGCGGCGTGGGTCGGAACCCCACGTCTCCTGGTGGCCGGACGGCACGCCCCCACGTGCCGTTGACGAAGGTGCCCGGCACCCTCGGCGTCCCTTTTATTTCTCTGAAGTCGATCCTAGCGCCGCGCCGGGGGCCCTGGCGGCGGGACCACCGTGAGGCATCTCAGCATCCGTGGTCCTGTGTCGCGGGCCCGCGTTTCCCGTGCCGTGGGACTGGCTGAGAACCGGGTCTCAGGCGTTACCACGCGGAATCCGGACAGCCGGCTCTCCCCGTCCTCGCCTGTCTTTCTGTGGCTGGTCGAGGGAGGCGGCCCTGTGTTTCTATGGAAACGTCTCCCAGCGATCTTTGCAAAGCCTGCCTCGCTTGTTGTGTGTGGCCCCTGGTCTCCGTCCCCAGGTCCCGGTCGGCACCGTGTGACCTGGCAGAGACTTCCTTGCCTGTTCAAGGTCAGCGGCACGGCCCCCCCATCACGCAGCCACCCCTGGCTCTTGCATCTGATTCAGTTCCAGGGCCCCACGTTGGATGATTCTGATAGATGCCCCCATGCCCGCCCCTGCCCAGGTTAGTGGTTGTTCCCACGGACAGACGGACCCTCGGAGCCCCTCACTCCTCCAGCTCCTGCCTCCAGTGTTGTTTCTAAAGACGCCCGCCTTTCAGAGGTGGTCACTGTGCCCCCTGCAGGCACCTCGACCTCCGATCCCAGGGGTCTGGAGCGCCCTGTCTCAGCCCACTGCCCACATGAACGACTCTCGCGTCCATGCACGCTCTGTGGACGAGGGGCCGGGCGTCCCCCCCCAAGCTGTTCGCCGTCCGACCCGTCTGGTCCCGCAACGCCGTCAGGGCCAAAGTCAGCGTCCACCCCGACAAGCTCAAGGTCTTGCTGCCCTTCATGGACTATTACATGGTGAGTGTCCGCCCCGCGCCCTCCTGGGTTCCCGGCGGGGCGCCCACCAGGGTCGTGCTGATCCCCAGGGTGACCTCCCAGGGCCGTGGCACGAGCAGGCGGCCCGGCCCAGGTGTTACAGGACAAACAAGGGGGGAGCCTGGGACGGATATAAAGAAGCCCCCAGGTCCGTTATGTCCGCCGCCCGAGGAAAGACGTCTCTCAATGCCGGAGATTTGTGAAAAGGAAAGGAAAACCTTTATTTAATGCTACACAAACTTAAAGTAGGGACCTAATGTCTTCACCAAAAATCCTAAAGTCCCTTAAAGCACCCACAAACAGACACAGTCCTTCCTTCCTTCGCCCTTTGCCCAGTCCAGAGGACCATATCTCCTAAAGCTGCGGGGGTCCCTACTCTGGCAAAGGCCCGTGGTCCTCTCTCCCGGACCACAGGAGTCCCCACTCTGCCAGAGCCGCGTGGTTCTCTCCCTCAGGGTCGCGAGAGTCTTCACTCTGCTAAAGCTGTGTGGCTCTCTCTTGCGGGGCTGCGCATGAGCCCCCCCCAAATGGCTGCCGCGTTTGGTTTAAATCCCAGCGCCAATCTTCCTCTGCAGCCCCATTTCCAGCTCCTCTCACAATTGGCCACAGCTGCCAGATTCTGGGCAGGTGTGGCCCTGTGGTGTGGAGCCAATGATCTCCAAGCTCTTCTGGATCTTCTTACAGATCCCTGTTTGAGGCTCCCCTCTTGGCTGCACCCTGTTACACAGGCACCCCTGAAATGGCCACCACCGCGCCTGGGGAAGCCTGACCGACCAAGGGGCTCGAGTTAGGGAGAAGGGGGTCGCCCCGCAGCTTCCGCATGCAGGGGTGCGCGTCTCTCAGCGACCTCGTGGGAGGGCTCTCTGAGGGCCGGGTCCTACGCGAGTGCTGTGTGTGCCTCCCGCACTTTGCCCTCCCCAGGGCGCAGCGGGGCTCCATTCTGACCTCTCCGGAGAGCTCGGGTGCACAGAGGTGACCCGTGTGCCGCAGCTGCACAGGCAGTGAGCGGCAGAGACGCCTGGGGCCCGTCCCCGGCCTGTCCGCCTTCAGACCCCGTAACCACGGTGCGTGGGCCCCGACTCCTTCTTCCCGTGTGGAGTGGGGCTCCCTGGGGAGGTCCGCCGTGCCCTGGGTCCAGGGGTGTCATCACTGAGGCTCCCGCGGGAGCTGGGGGGAAGGGATCCTGCCTGCCACGGTGGACACGCAGAGCGTCGCAGAGGCCAGCACCGGACGTGGCCGAATCAGCAACGACAGGTTGGGGGGCACCAGTGGGGGTGTTCTCGAGGTCGTGCCACGGTGGCTCCTCTGGTCCCTGACATCCATAGACGGGAGGCCATGTGAGCCAGTACTCAGCCCCGGGCCAGCACCCCAGGCTGCTGGCTGCCACCCAGGGCTGCCCCCCGCCCTGGTTGCTGGGGACATTCCCAAAGGCTGTGCCCCGGCCCCCTGTCCGTGAGCCGGCCCGGGGTCCGGCTGCATGAGACCCACAAGGGCTGGAGGTGGGGATGCACTGTGGGTGGGGGTGGGGCTCCGCCTGGGTCTCAGGACAACGGGGGACGGCGGGGGAGCCTGGCCCTGGCCACAGGTGGCGGAAAGCCTCCTTGGGTCTGGGTCTACCCTCTTGAGGGGCCCAGCAACGACTGGGCCCCTGGGACTGCCCTCATTGAAGACATCTCCCCGGAGACTGGGTGTTGGAGCTCGTGCCGGGGGCCGGGGCTCCCGCTGCTGGGCGCCATCCTCCCCCCCATCACAGGCCCAGGGATCCCCCAGGGCAGCGCTGGGACTGTCGGGAACAGGCCCAGTGGCCCCTCGCTGAGGGGGTGGGGTGAGAGCCTCTAGAGGTGGCCCCAGTGGCCCCAGCCCCGTCCCCAGGGGTCCCACAGCCTCGTGTCCATCCCTTACCGCTCCAGTGTTCTCAGAGGCTCCCGGCGCTCCCTCCACGGCTGCCTGAGTGGCACGGCTGTTTTACCAGATCTGTCCCCTCTGTCCTCAGAGTTGGGGATCCCATTCCTGTCTTCCTGGAACTCTCTTAAAGAGAGACCCCGCCCCAAAGGAGGAACCTAGCGTGCCAGGACCTACCCCACCGCACCCGACGCTCTGGCTGCCCTTCAGGTTCAAGGCCCCTTCCCAGGGGACGTGGGGGGCGTGGCCTTGACCCACAGATGCGGGTGTGGCCGTCAGCCGCCCTGATGTCTGCCTGGACCACCTCTTCCCCGGGCTGCAAAGCAGCGACTTCCCGTGTGGCTGGTCCCCCTGCGTCCACTGGCTGGGCTTCTGGGGAGACCTCTGCCCCCGGCACCTGCGGGCGTCCAGCTTCTCGGAAGCCGCTGGGACCGGCAGAGCAGGAAAACGCCTGCTCCCCCAGCCGCCTCCCGGAAGGAGGACTTGGCGCCCCACTGAGGGCCACTGGTTGCGGCGGACTCGGGGGGAGGCTTCTTTGTTTTTTTAACTTTTTTTACTTTTTTAGTTTTTTTAAAGATTTTATTTATTTATTTTTAGAGAGGGAAGGGAAGCGAGATAGAGAGAGAAACATCAATGTGCGGTTGCTGGGGGCCATGGCCTGCAACCCAGGCATGTACTCTGACTGGGAATCAAACCTGCGACACTTTGGTTCACAGCCCGAGCTCAATCCACTGAGCCACGCCAGCCAGGGCCTGTTTTTTCAACTTTTGTAATGAACTCTTAAATTTGTTTTAAACGATCCTGGTCACACTTTTTGATGCCCAGCCCGTCTCATCTCTGGCCTGAGGGTGGCCCCAGGTTGCCTCCTGTGACCTTTGACACACCCTCTGGTTCTCTGCGCCTTCTTGTCCCCCACCTGCCGATGGCCTGGGGTGCCCGGCCCCTTCGTCGGCGTGGAGGTGGTGTGCAGAGACCCCAGCTGGGCCCGAGGGGGGCCTGCTGCTCCTGGGTTTTCCATTTACTTCAGTGCTTTTGAAATCACAGAGCCAGGAAATGGGCCTTTTTTTTTTACAACAAACAGTAAAATACGAGTTTATACACATAGTTCCCAATTAAAAGATAAAATGATAGGGTTTTACTTCTCAGATCTTATGTGGACAGAGTGGGGCAAAAATAGGTTTGCAAGCCCTGGCTGGCATAGCTCAGTGGATTGAGTGCGGGCTGCAAACCAAAGGGTTACAGGTTCGATTCCCAGTCAGGGCACATGCCTGGGCTGCAGGCCACGGCCCCCAGCAACCGCACATTGAGGTTTCTCTCTCTCTCTCTCTCTCTCTCTCTCTCTCTCTCTCTTTTCCCTCCCTTCCCTCTCTAAAAATAAATAAATAAAATCTTTTAAAAATTAAACTATTGTTAAAAAATAGGTTTGCAGTTCACGTGGAAAAACGATACAGTAATTAAACAGTGACGCGAGGGGAAACCGTGTGCTGTGCACTCACGACGGCACGCCTACCTTCGCCGCCCGCCCCGCAGCTACGACGGGTCTTGGCCGCACCCCTGTCTCCTGGCGGCGTGGGCGGGGCCTGCGTCCCTCTGACCGCAGTGTCTGCCTCGTGGGATGGGAACAGGTGTGTTTGCCCGCACGGGATGCGCTCCAAGCTGGGGAAGGGTTTTTTTAAGTATTTGCCTCAGTTCTGTGTACCATTAAATCAACACGGCGAGGGCTCTACTTTGTCCATCGTGTCCGTCCAGAACTTCATACTTCTGGCCCAATCACCCAGATTCTCTCTCAGACGTCTGGGGAACCCCTACACCCTCCAAGCATCCCATGATAGCCATGGAGTCTCCCCACAGAAAAACGTGCAAACCCACAACACACACCTGCATCCAGTTCCAGAGGCACCGTGAGCCTGTCCTTGAACTTGCTAGCAGGTCCGTGGGCCACGTGGTTCAAAAGTCCCATCACGTCCCATGGTTTTCCTCTTCACTGTCAGCCTCATGGACTAGTAAACGCAAGTAAGATACAAACATGTCCCCACGTTACCTGTCGATAACCCAGAAGACAGAGGTTTCTGTGAAATCACCATGTGACCTTGAAAGACATTCGGGTTAGTTTCTGCCCTTCAGGAGCTTGAGGAACCCTCAGTTCACGTGAGTGCTCCTTTCTCCCCGAGCCAGCTGGAATGCAGGTCCTCAAGGGGGTTTATAGATGAACTTGGGGGCAGTATTGGAAGTGGAAAAGCATCACGTGCATGTAACACAGACACGCCTACACGTGCACACGCCAGGTGAGGTGACCTGTCTGCCAGTATTTGTGGAGCCGGCTTTTAAGGCTGCTTTTTGCCCCGGTATTTCGTCTCAGAGGCTGTGGGCTGGACGATGCTAGTCTCTTCTGGAAGTTTCTGGGAGTGCTCACCGCATGTTTGTTGTTACCTGTTCTGTGCGGGACCCTGCGGGCTCCTTAGTGTTAAATAAGTGAGCACCTCGAATCATCAAAACACGGGGATCTGCCCCCTCCTTTCCTCCTGCAAAGAACACGGCACTGGCTGTCCCCGAGCACACGGGGCCCGTCCCCCGCACTCAGAATCACTTAGAACGGGTTCTCAGGATCCCATCGGCCAGGAAAAAAGCATTAGCACAGGCACTTGTTCATGGCAGCACCCGCACACCCTCTGCGGCTGGTCCTCAGCCCCGCCCGCCCGGCTCCCGCTTCCAGTGGTGCTGGGTCGGGTGGGCAGACGGGCCCGACTTGTGTAGACCACTGAGGGTGTTGGGGACAGCCACACGTATGGCCTAGGTGCGCCTGTAGTGTTAAGGGCTCCCAGGCAGCGAGGAGGCCATCTGGACCCAGACTGAGGGGCTGTCCCCGGCTCCTGGATGCACCCCCTCACTGGGGATGGCTCTGAGGCCAAACCCCTCCAAGGTGAGAGCCTTGGGCTTTGTCTATGGCGGTCTCTCACTCCTTAACGACCTCCTTTGGTTACCAAAGTCAGATGCACGCCCTGAGGCTCAGCTGTGGGCTCTCTCTCTCTCGCTGGTGGTTCACACTCTGTGCTCAGGTTTTCCCATCTCTCTGGCTCCTCTTTGTCTCTCATCTGACTCTGTCCCTCTGTCTCTCTTCCCACCCCCACCCCTTCTGCTATGCCCCAAGCCCTTCCTTTCTCCCCGGGAAGCCCACCAGGCTGGGCTGTGGCCCCCTCTCCTCCATGCCTGTGCCCCCCCCTCCCGGGCCCCTTGTCCCGCCCTCCGAATGTGAGGTCTGCCCCACACCCTGAGGGCAGGGTCCCCACACCCAGCTCAGACCCAGACCGCACCCCAGGGGGCCCTGGAAACCAGGCCCAGGGACATGGGCTGCCTGTTGCAGGTCGCTCTGCCTGGTCTCAGGAAGCTGTAACTCCCCATGACATAGGCAGAGTGAAAGACCTCCGGACCAGGAGCCACTGAAGGAGACAAAATTATTTCCCTGGCATGATGGGCAGTCAATGACGGCTAACAATTCTCTGAGAGAATGAACTCAGGACAGACGCGATCACGTGGGAGTGCCCTAAGGAAGAAACTCACGGGGCTGTGGAAATGAAGGGGTGATGGACATCAACCCCTGCCACCTTGGCTTTGTCAAAGTCTGAGTCCTTGTTCTTAGATGTGAGAAATCCAAGTCTCCTGGGTGCCTCTGTCTTCTCAGGCCTGCAGGGGCGAAATTGCCCAGACCAAGGACCCCTAGGGTAATCAGGCCTGGGACATAGAATATGCAAGATCTTGTGAGATCTGTTTGCTGGAGGATGTTATTATCTTGGAATTTAAAGGCACAGACAGGAAACCAAAACTGCCCTTTGAGCCCTGTTAGATAAAACCCCAGGCTCTGCCCAGAACCACAGTGGGGGTTCTGTCTGCACCTTTGTAAGTCACATGCTTCTTTCGATCTTTTCTGCCAGACTGTGAATCCACAAACTAAGTCTGTTTTCTCAATAAAAATCTGCTTGGGTATGGACACAGGGCGCTCCCCACTAGAGGGGGTGGCCATGGCGCCCTTCAGGAGAGAGGGTGGCCAAGTGGCGCTCCCCACGCGAGGCCTGGCCCTTCTGTTCCTGTTCCCCCACGGGACCTGGTTGTCTCTGTGTATGTTTTTAGCATGTTTCAACGAACATCAGCAGCCGAGATGGATACTGGAGGACGGTAGCCGCCACAGCTGCCCAGTAGCACACAGCCACCTCTGTGCCGGAAGTCACATGCCCAGTCCCCCATAAACATCCTTGGCTGAGCTCAGGGGTTTGGGGGCGGGGGGCCAAGCAGGGCGTGGAGACAAAGCATGCCCCCTTCTCTGAGGACGGCCCTGAGCCCTTGTGGATGAACCAGAACACAGCCGTTGTGCACCCAGCCAGGCCCCGCCCCAACCCCCCTGCAGCCACCTGCCTCAGTTCCCAGCCACTGCCCGTGTGCGCTGTGGGCCCCAGGAACCCGGTATCATCCACCCTTGCACCTGCACACGTGTGTGACTGTGTATGCACAGGCACCGGTGTGACCTTGGTCCAGTCTGAAAACGGCAGCTGTCTCCTGGCCCCGGGCGCACCACCTGGCGTGTGGCCAGCCTGGACGAAGGGGCAGACGGAGGAGGGGGAAGGACCCTCCAGGGGCAGCTGCCAACGCAGGCTCCTGGCTGGCTCCAGCCCCATAAATACCCGTGGGCTGGAGGCAGGGCCACCCTGAGGCAGGCGCACACCATGGGGTACCTGCAGCTGCTGGTCTTGGGCTTCACCTGCTGCCTGGCGGCAGTGAGCTCGGCAAAGGTAAGCGACAGCCCGGCAGAGGAGGCAGGGCCCTGGTCCTCCACGGCACAGACCTGGGGACTGGGGACGGCAGAGTGGAGGGAAGGCAGACAGATGGGTCCCTGGCAGAAAGAGGCCCCCCTGCCCCCGGACACAGAGCCCACAGCTCCCCCAGAGGCTCGTCCCAGGTCCGTCCCCATTTGCACGGTGACTGGGGCGCAGACCAAGTGCAGGACGCCCAGCTAAACTGGGTTTCACCAACCGCATGGTTGTGGGTCTAGGTGTGCCCAAAAGGCACGCAGGGTACGCGCACACTAACAAGTACTCATTGTTGTGTGAAATGCCTCTCCCCCCAGCTGGGCGCCGTGTACACGGAAGGAGGCTTCGTGGAGGGCGTCAACAAGAAGCTTGGCCTGTTTGGAAGCTACGTAGACATCTTCAAGGGCATCCCTTTCGCTGCCGCCCCCAAGCCCCTGGAGAACCCCCAGCGACACCCCGGCTGGCAAGGTACGAGTGGGTGCACGCTGGGCAGGCCCGGCCTCATGGGAGGGCGTGGGTGGGCCACCATCCTCACGCCAGTCCCTCCGGCCGCCCGCAGGCACCCTGAAGGCCAAGGACTTCAAGAAGCGATGCCTCCAAGCCACCATCACCCAGGACAATACTTATGGCTCTGAGGACTGCCTCTACCTCAACATCTGGGTCCCCCAGGGCAAGAAGGAAGGTGTGCCCACCCCTGCCCCGTGCTCTCCAGCTCCCCCAGCCCCACGGAGAGCGCCCAGGCAGCCAGAGGCCCCAGCCCTGCCCCTCGGTTGTGTCTGGGGCTCTGGAGCCAACCTTCCCTGAGAGGGGCCCCCGGAGGGGAGAGTGCCCAGGGGCAACTGGGGTCACCAGGCCCTCTTTCCTGCCCCAGTGTCTCGGGACCTGCCCGTCATGGTCTGGATCTACGGGGGCGCCTTCCTCATGGGGTCCGGCCACGGGGCCAACTTCCTCAACAACTACCTGTACGACGGCGAGGAGATCGCCACCCGGGGCAACGTCATCGTGGTCACCTTCAACTACCGCGTGGGGCCCCTGGGCTTCCTCAGCACTGGGGACTCCAACCTGCCAGGTCCGCGGGGTGCCTTGGGCATGGTGACGGGGTCGGGGGGCCGGTGGGGGTGCTCCCCAGCACCCCTCGGTCCCAACCATCTCCTGACAGGCCCCTGACAGGCCCAGAATTCCATTTGCTAGGGATGGACCATGAGGCACAGGGATCCCTGGGCAGCTGCAGTGAAGGAGGAGAGGCTGTCAGACAGACAGACAGACAGAGACCCAGAGAGGGCCCAGGGGGCGGGGACAGGGAGCCGAGGGAAAGAGACAGATGAGACAGGGAGGTGGTGGCTTGGGGGGACACAGAAGCGGCAGGAAAGACAGACAAGCAGGGCCGTGGCCTCCTGGTCACCTGCCCGAACCCCTACGCCCTCTCCAGCGCCCCACTCCATCTGCCTCCTGGGACCCACCCTCGTCCCACTGCAGTCCCCGCCCACGGTCCCTGATGCAGGCCCTACCCCACTCATGCAGGTAACTATGGCCTTCGCGACCAGCACATGGCCATCGCGTGGGTGAAGAGGAACATCGCGGCCTTTGGGGGGGACCCCAACAACATCACCATCTTTGGGGAATCTGCCGGAGGTGCCAGCGTCTCTCTGCAGGTCTGGAGACCCCAAGAGGGGCAGGC